ATATATATATTGCAATTATAAAAAAAACATTTTAAATGGTAATGGTAATATTTCACACTAATCAAATAAATGCAGCCTTAGAGAGCATAAGAGACTTATTTCAAAAACATTAAAAAATCTTACCAACCCTAAAATTTTAATGGTAGGGCATAACAACAACTAGTGTCACACATTTCCACTGTTTGCAAGTTCTAATTGCATATATTAGTTTCATTGCCAAAATCAAACAAAGCTGTAAAGTGACAAGTAAGATACACTGTTAAACATCAACACAGGATAGACTCTCAAACAGTCACCACTTTTAAACAAATCAAGAGAGTGGAACGTTATACGGCTGATTTAACGGAACGACATTCACAGCCACATCAAAGGAACACTTCTCAGGTTCTCTGATGAGTCAAAACACCTCTGGCTATTATTTCAACAGAGTTTTGAACAGCGTACAGTTACAACAGCCCTGCATTCCACCAGTTCCTTGTGTAAATATCTGGTGTCGACGTCTCTCATTGAGAAGGGAGGGGCGGCCTGGCAAGAGGAGAGAGCGAGCCACGGAGAGTCCCAGAAGCAGCACGCGGGCCGCCACAGAGGACGGACTCAAGCCGTGCGGTTGCCTCCCTGGTAAGGACCACACACACAAAGGGCCCAAAGAAGCCAGGCCACCTCAGCGAAGCTGCGGAGAGGCAGACATGTTTGACTTGGAGAGCTGAGGAATGAAAGAGGGATTATTCGACAGTCTTGGATTGAACAAGATACACTGGTTTTATGTGCATGAGATAAAGACTGTGCTTCTGACAAGTCTAAGCCCGAAAACGTGACTCAAGTTAAATCAGAGGCCAAGTGTTTGTTATTTCTGGAAGAAATTGCATTGCCACTGTGAAAACTGAGAAGGGTGCATAAAACGCAGTAATTACACAAACAATAAAATCTTAAAGGGATAGTTCACCCAAAAATGAAAATTATGTCATTATTTACTCATGATGAGATCTGAGAGCTCTCTGACCCTCCATAGACAGCAAAGGTCATGAAACTTTCAAAGTCCAGAAATGTACCAAAAACATAGACAAAATAGTCCATGTGACATCAGTGATTCAACCGTAATTTTATGAAGCTATGATAATACTTTTTGTGCATGCGCGTGCTTTCCTCTGCTCGTAAACAAGGCGCAGCGCATGCGTGTTCTACGTCAGCAGCATAACGCGTATGCATCAGCCGTAGCAAGGAAATCGGTGACAGGTGTCGTCCTATCAGCTGCACTCTGGCTGTAGGTGTCACATTTATTATCCCAGGGCGTATGCGGAAATGATCGGCAGGAAGCATGTGTGCATGTGGGTGGTGTGTCTGAGCGCTGAAGGAGTTATTAAGGGGATGATGTCAACACTCAGCCTGCCTCATGTTGCCTAATCAGGCCTGCACTGCCCAAAGCCTCCTACACAGGGAGGTCTGGGCTACAGTCCATGCCTGTCAGACCCACATCACCGCACACCACTATGGAGAGCAGCGCGCGCGCACACACACACACACACACACTTTCACTACTCCACACACTCACACCACTAACTATAGTGTCAAGCTGCCACACAATTGACACAGAGTGGCTGTTTGTATGCAAACCATGTCACACTTGTTAAGTTTCTGAGTCACTGGACAAAACATGCTCTTCTGGAAGGCACATTCTGTGCTGTAACTTTGTCTGTTTTAACAACTGAAGAGCTTTGATCTGACCAGTATCATTTAAGGGTAGGATTGCGTATGTGGGGCAGAAGATGACATCTTGTGAGCTCTTGAAAGTAGATAGACATCAAACAGCTGCAGAGTAGTCATTAATTCCACTGCCGATGGTCAGACAGCCAAGACCTTGACAGCACCGGTCTGTGCAGAGTTCTTGACTAAACTTGACAGAAAGTGGCAGAGAACTGCCGCCGACACTGTGCTCCTCAGATACATGAAAGAACATGTTGAAAAAGAGAGAAAAGGCTGCTGCATCAAAAAGCCCTGTGGAGGTGTTTGACATGAGCTGTTTTAATCCTCTCTGATTAGAGACTTGGAAAGGCATATATATTTTATACTTTTAATACTTAAAAATGTAGAACTTTCATTTATAATCAAATATGTGACTTTTTTTTATTATTCAGAAAATGTGAGTGTATTCAACTGCAAAACAGTAAGGTATTTTAGTTTGAAGCATGTTGCTATGGGGTTTCTGTGTGGTTGCTTAGTTGCTTATGATATTCTAATCTGTAGATATATCTCAGGTCCCTCCTTAAAAAGTAATAGTACACCTCTACTCAACATGCCACATAATTTGAGTTGTCATTCTTGTATGTATCACATACAGTGTGTGAGTTAAAGTTACATTTATTACTAACCATTATGTGTTATAAAAGCTAAAAAAATATGTGCAATATTTATAGTGGTGCTTGGAATTTAGAAAGTGGATGAATTTTTTATTTAATTTTTTTGTCAAAAACTGGTGGAATCCACTGCAAAAAAAGAACCAAAACATATGGTCATAAGAAATGTCTGGAACAGAGTATGGGGGTAAAAGGTTACACACAAATTGTCCACATATACACACTCACATAAATAAATCCTTGCTTTAGTAACTTTCTCAGAGAAATCCAAGTATAAGACAGATGTGAGCCGGTGCTACAAGCTGGCACTGGGAAAGAGAGTGACATCACATCTTCTGGAGTTAATACAACAAGTGTAACTCCAAATATCCCTGATCACTATTCTCAGAAAGATCTCATTTGAAAACTATCTTCCTCTTTTAGGGTGTTTTCACACCCGAGCGTTTGTTTCTGAAGCTGGTGCGTTTTCTCCCTTGGTTCGGTTCGTTTAGGCATATGTGAACACGGCAATCGCGCTCGGATCCGCACCGAAACAATTGCTCCGAGACAGCCTGAACGAGGAGGTCTCGGCCCGATTGCAAACGAACTCTGGAGCGGTTCGCTATAAGTGTGAAAGCAATCCGACCCAAAGGACCAACAAACCAGACTGTATCACAATGTATGATGGGTAATTACATAAAGTTGCATAAAGCAGCAGAGATTGTATTGCTAATGGCTCCCAAAATGAACCGTGGGCTAACTTGGAGCAGGGAAGAAGTGAAATGTTTAACTGAAATTTGGTCAGACAAACACATTGGTGAACAGCTCTCCAAAACACACAAAAACACAGAAATTTATAAAGTGTTTAGCGAGCGCTTAAAACAAATGGGCTTTAATCGGTCGGTTGAACAGTGCCGCACGAAGGCAAAGAAACTCTGTCAACAATATATTATATATATCCTGATGAATGACAACTTTGAGCGGAATCCCGTTTCTGAACAAAGCAACTGATCTACAGATGTGAAAACACCCTTAAAGGCCGCAGGTGAGCAGAGATTTGTTTATGTATTATTATCAGGGAGTGAAAGGGAGGGAGGTGGATCTGGCAACCCCAATGCACAATATTTTATGTATTTACATGCATACGATATACACATTGGGTAGAACATTATTATTTTAGAGCTACCTTGCGATGAAGCACACAAACTGTGAGAGACGCTTTCCTGGAAGGTCTAGTATTCCTGCCAAATGCCCTGAGCAAACTCCCTAATGGCCATCAACTAGTACAGATAATGTTGTAAGGGAAGGTTTATGCTGGTCTGACAAAGGTTCAACTTTAAAGACCTCATGAAATCATTTAATGACTAGAGTTTGCGGTTCTGTGCTCACGCATTACCTTTTGAAAAGCAAGTCAAAAGCATCTGTGACCACTTGATTCCCATCAAAATTAATTTCCCTCAAAAAAAAAAAGGGTTACAATGAAATATCCATAAATATGGCCAATCCATAAACCTTAAAATAATCACTTTTTTAATATTATAGCCACAAGATGTAAACCAATGTCAACATGATTTTGTGGGGGAAAAATAACATACTAACCTTTTATGTGAAGTTATATCCAATTTTATATCTAAACAAAATTGCTGTAACACCATAAACCCTGAAATGACTGTAAAATGAGAACATTACAGATTACATAATCCTTTTAACAGAAGAAATAACATGCTTTTATAAAATGTTTACTTTGAAATCCATAAATTAGCTTAAAATAATTTTTGTGGTAATAAAAATGATATCAACTGACCTTAAGTATTAAATCCGGCATATTCTTTTAAATGCCTTATATGTGCTAAAAGTAAAAACAGTTTAAAAAATATTGTACATACATACATATGGTCTTGATAAATAAAATAAAAATATACAAAATATACTACATTATAAATAAAAAATTAAATGTCCTTGGAATGTGGAAAACAAACACAAAAAAATCCAGGTCCTTACGTAAAATTGTAAGTAGTTATGTGGCAGAGTACAGCATGTCATATTTCTAACCATAAGAAAGCCCATCTGATCTCAGTCAAAGCCAGACATCAGAGGTGTTTAAAAATGCCTCATTGCTCCATCATTGCAAGTCACGAAGCATCGCAGCACAATGACCCGACTGTACCGAGGTGTCATAACAAGTGTTGCATAAATCATTCTGTTTCTCCTGGCAGGCAGCAGTGTATCATGAATGATTGATGTCTGGCCCTTCTACTCCATGTCCTAATGCATGCTCAGGGCTCTTTTCCCTGAAATAACAGTTTTGATGACCCCAGGGCTGGGGGAGGGCGGGTTAGACAAGAACACTCAAGTTGGGTTATTTCTGTATGAAATATTGATCGCCACTGATGGACCATTACCATGTAGAATAGGATGGATTACCACAGAGAAGAGAAACTATCTGAGGACTAGCGATAGAGACGAAGGGAATTAAATGGGAGATCTGACAGGAGAAAAGCCACCATGCTGATAAAAATACAGAGAACAAGTGATCTAGGGAAAAGTAGAGATGTTAACTAATGGTAGGGGCCTCTCTCAAACCCTTTCTGCTTTCCTCTCTCTCTCTTTCCGTTTCTCTCATTCCAGCTAAATGCACCTGCTGCTGGGCTATCACGACTGAATAATTGGCAGATCAGTTAAGGGCCTGTGTATCTCCCCTACCCTGTGGTTCAGGCACCACATGGGTGAATATTCTCCATCTCCTGAATCACCTGCTGCTCTGGACCGGGATCGAAATCAAGCCATTCATGATACACAGAGTAAGATATTTACTGGTGGGGAGAAAACACACTCATGGACAAGTTCTTAGAAATGTACTCTTTGTATTCAAGTTGGGTTCATTTGGTTTTGAAAAACCTTAACATTTTCATGTTTTACCTTTAATGGGTAGTTCACCTAAAAATTAAAATTCTGTCATCATTTACTCACCCTCAAGTTGTTCCAAATCTCAATGAATTTCAAAACACAAAAGAAGATATTTTGAAGAATGTGGGTAACCAAACAGTTCCTGGACCACATTGACTTACATAGTTTTGTTGTTGTTGTTGTTGTTGTTGTTGTTGTTTCCTCCATTCCTTGGAGGTCAATGAGCACAATCAACTGTTTGGTTACACAAATTGTCCAATGATCCAGTAAGCGAATGTATTCAAACAATCAGTCCAAAACAGAACTAATGTAAAGAAAAACAGGCTGATTACATCCGAGATGGCAAAGAGAATATAGACTCACGTTGCGTTTTTAGTGAATTATTCATCGAGCTCTGTCATATTCTGTGATTATTTCTGAAGAGCGCGAGCCCTCACGCATCGCGCTGTGTGAAATTCAGACTGAACAGAACGTCAAAACATCCCACCGCAGTATGATAGGCAAACTACGTTTTCTCAGCTGGATAAAGCAAACCAGCTTCTCTCTAGTAAAGTTTTGGTGGTTGAGGACGTACAGGAGGCGTACAGTAAGCATGCGTGACTCTGATATATTGATGCAACAAACCGTGTATGAGCACTCTTTGACGCACAGATCATAGATTGTATTTATGCAAAGACACATTTCAGTACATTCACGTTGTTTCCACACACATTCTATAGGATAATGTTTTCATGTTGCTGTGTTTAGTCATTCTGAATGGATCCATGTAGCCTACTGTAGTGGATATATGCAGTCAGCTCAAGGCGGTTGGTTTATTGTTTTTTTGGCATCTCCATGTGGTCCTGTTCGGTATCACAACTTAACTTGTTTACTGTAAACATACTATACACTATGCATTCTGAAAAGTTTTTTCAGTATTTTTTTTATGTGTGCTTTGGTGTATACAAATGTATCAATTATATGAACTTTTATCATTCCATTTCCATAACCAAATCATATCATTTGGTTCTTTTGGAGTCTCCAGTTGTCCTTTTTTTGAAAAGACATCTAAATTAATCTCGAAATAAGCTTGCAGAAAATACAGTATTATAACAATCACCCTTCAATCTTTTGGTTTACTTTGCTGGATATAGTAAATAATGATAAAATGAATGTGTTAAACAAGATAAATGGTGTACGCGTAATTTCATGATAAGTGTGCGATTAATCGCAATTAATCACACAGAAAGGGTGCAAATTAATCCGATTAGAAATTGTAATCAGCCCTATTTTTGGGTGAACTATCCATGTGTGATCCATCATGTGATGTAACAATCAAGTAAAAAGTAATAACATATTCTCTTTATACTTTGAGTACATGCAAGTGTACAAATCTATTCATTTTTTAAAGTTCACTTTAAAAAAAAAGAAATAAAATATATTTTTCAAGGTCAAAAGTTTTGTGTACAAATATCAAGCTTTTAGGAAGTCACACAAGATGACATTTTACAACCTGAACTAACATTGACATGGCATAAAATTCAAATGATCAGATATTTTAAAAGACTTACTGACCTTAACACACAGACATGTGGGTCTGCAGGGATTTCTCTCTATGGTGTCATTTCCTGTTTTGTTTAGTTTTTTTCTGCATGTTCATTGGACCACATGACTTTTTGAAAATAATAACACTTACTTAAAGGGGTCATATGATGCGATTTCATTTTTTCCTTTCTCTTTAGAGTGTTACAAGCTCTTGGTGCATAAAGAAGATCTGTAAAGTTGCAAAGACTAAAGTCTCAAATCCAAAGAGATATTCTTTATAAAAGTTAAGAGTTAACCACACCTACGTGATTTTCTGTTCTATATATATATATACATCTTTCATTATGATATCAGGATAGTTAACAGTCTAACATTTTTTACTTTGTGCCTCCTTTATGCCTTTAAGGCATGTTCACACTAAGAACGATAACTACAAAGATAACTATAACGATAACTATATTAGTATCCACACCAATACACAATAACATTCTGTTTACTATAAGCATGCGCTGCCCTTATGTTTTATGTCACTATGAATGCTCACGCTCTTTAAAGCAGGATGGATTTAGATTGGGTGTCAATGTTTTTATCATTCATCAGCTGGAAAAAAATCTTTCTAAAATCGATTCCAATGATATCATTCCTCTATGCCGTTATTGTTACAGCTGTGGTGTGATTTTTAAACCTGTATCTTAATTATTATCGTTATCATCCTCGGTCTGAACGGGACTTTAGACTTTTTAAGGTTTTTTTGTGTTACAGTGTAATTACACAAAATAAGTACGGAGTAATTTCAATTAACTTACTAAGGTTAAGGTTAGGGTTCAGTTTCGGGTTATTTACTTGTATTTATGCATAATTTACTGTTATTACTATAGTAAGTACATGTAACTATAAGAAAAGGTTATCCACAAAACATATCTAGGTTGAAAATACACTGCTTCTCAAGGAAGAAGAAAGAGCAGCACAGCTTTATTCCTTAAACCGACAATAATTCTAGTGGGCAACAACAATCGCATGTTCACAGGTCATGTGGCTGCGGTCACATGTTCGTCTGAGAGTGAAGCCGGGACCACCCTGTCTGCTCCACTAACTCTCAAAGCAGACATTTGAAAGCACTTGCAAGGTCAAAGCTAAGTGTAAGGCAACGTGACTGTGATGTGTGAAGCAGTTTAAAAGCCAGATGAACGCCTATGCTCTAATCCTTCTTTTCAAGTGTTGGGTTAAGAAAGACAACTGGTACAAGGAGTTTAAGTCCAACTACCACTCAACCCTTTAAACCTTCAGACTTATCCTTCCTTTGCATACAAACGTGACTGGAAAGAATTTCAAAAAAGAATCCCTACAGCTGCTGCAGGCACACACTGAGCTTGTATGAGTGAAATCAAAAGATGTTCTGACACTGCTTCTTCAGAAAATCCTTCATCCTGTGAATAATTTTACAGCTGATTAGCTGCAAAACGGACATTTGAAATATGCTGGGCTGGAAAGTGGCAGCAGGAATTTCTGTCTTTATTCCAAGCAAAATGCTACAGCACCAGCATCAGCAAAACAGACAGCAAGTGAAGTGAATCTGCTTACTATCTGGAAAAATGATATGCTTGTCCAGTCAAGGTGCTTATCTGACACATTTACAATAAATTATTCAATGACGAGCAGTGGAGTGTTGTGAATAAACTCATTAGCTCATGATATTTCAGGCTACAGTGTCACAAGGTTTCAAATAAATGAATGTGTTGACGGAGCAAGAGGAGAAAGAAATCCCTCAGGGAACAAGAGCTTCAGACTTCCTTTAGTGCACATGTCTTTTGAGGAGGGAATGAAACATATAATTGAATAAAACTGTACTGTACTAGTATTACAACATCACAGTACAGGTAGAAGAGTCCAGGGTGTGTTGTAATAAATTTTGATTCAATGCCTGAAACTCTATTTTTGTACATCGTCTCTCATACAAGTTTTAAGATTCCCATATTTATCTGGTACGAATTAAATGAAATGGTTATTAATAAAAAAAAATTATTGTTCAAATAAATGGCCACTTCTAATCACATTTCTTTGAAAAAATGTACTTTTATTTAATTTAAAACAAAACAATTTCTCTTGATGCAGGGTTGTGCAAAATTCAGAACTGAAGAATTGTTTCCTTTCTATGAGTGTGAATTTGAATTGAACTGAATTGGCCACACCCCACAGAAGAATGAAATGGAATGAAAAATGAATTCACTGAATTGTAATTGAATGAAATTCAACATAGGCCATGCATTCTGGGAAATTGTTCCATCCATCCATGCATCGCTATTGCCTTCACAAGTCTTTGTCAAGTCTTGACAAGCTTTACTCATCTAATTAAAAAAAGTCAGCTGAATTTTCATTCGTTTTAATTCTACTTCCTTATATTCAAATTCTATGCTGTTTTATACCTCAGTTCAAATTCATTTTCTTAAACCTAAGAGACAAATACTTTTTAATGATGACTTCTGTACGATTCTTTCTAAATGGCATTCCCTTCTAAAGTTTCAGGAGTAAAGCTGCTTGCAGTTTATCACTTGCTATTCTGTTTATTTAAAATTTTAAGCCAGCTACATTATTGAAATGTGAACATATGGGTCTTTAATCCATTATTGATGGTAATCAAAATTTCCTTCTAAATGTGTCTCGCATGATGTTTTTTCCCCTCTTTTGATGAAAGAAAGTGCATAGCTCGACTGCTGGCATGCAGATCACTTTCTCAGGACAATCTCCAAAGAGCTGTTGAAACCATGCCAAAGTACTACCTAAACACAAAAACTAATAAATGGACTGGCCTAATTCAAATAAAAACTTATTTTGTCCACTTTTGCTGAGTAATGCACTAGCTCATCCCTCATGAAAGCAATATTTCCATTTCAAATCATAATAAAAAGTATGCCTTCAAAGCATTCCCTCAGCCCAAGCCAGAGACTGAGGAAAGAGACTGGCCTGCATTAAGCCTTGTCAGGACAATGGATGATGTTTATTCACGCCCTCTAAATAGATCACCGTCTTGTATTATACCGATAGCCGTAAACAGAAAGCAAGAGGGCTTTTAACCTTTCACCTCTGCTAGATGATCAAACTGCTAAAACACCTCAGTGATGCTACCAAGCTCATAGAGACTGATTTACACCAGTGTTATTTTAATGTTATTTACTGTATAAACTATAATAGTATTTTAAATTAGCTTTTGTTTTATACTTTCAGTTTTCATTTTAATTTTTTGTAATTCTGTTCTGTTTTTTAAAATATTTTTATTTATAATAAAACATTTGTAATTTTCATGCAAGTGTTTAAAGTTTAATCATTTCATCTTTTATTTTATTTCAGCAATAATTACTGAAAAAGTAATTTTCAAAAATTTTTAATCATTTTAAATTTAGTTAACAATAACAACACTGATTTACACAGAGAATGAAGACCTAAGAGCTGTGAAACACCAGACCACTTCTCAACAAATAGCATTTTCCAGTCTTATGGGAACGAATTTGTGATAGTCCAGGCATAGCGAAGCGAATACTTGCTAATTAGCCAGCCAACCTTTTTCAGCCCACATGTGACATGTGTTCATCTCACATTACAGCATTATAATAGGGGAGACTGGGGAGTGTTGTAACACTATTGGTCACTGTCATATACAACGACCACCCTCTGCGTGATGGTTTATAATTTATCTGGTTTATAATTAAATTTTTGATCATCCCAATGGATGTTAAATTACTGGTATCATCCTGTTGAAGCAGGTATGTGACAGTGAAGTGTTTTAGAAAGAGGAAACAAATGGAAAGAACAGTAATGCTCCTTAATTCATTAAGTGTGACAAATAGATGTGCATGAGCTTTTAGAAATAAACTTTAATGACTGTTTGTAAAAGTGAAACTCTTTATTGTAATTTCACTTTAACCATACTATGATTTTCCGTCTGTCCAGTACTATCCTGCCTGTATTTTTCGACTCTGATATTCGCCTGCTGCTACATGGATCGTATTCCATCTTGTTTACACCTGCTCAGTGGGTCTGTTTAGCCGTGTGCCAATTAGGACCTAATTAAATACTGGATACTAAGGTCGAGCTCAGTAAGTTTTGAACCCGAGTTCATCCTTTGATCTTGTCTGACAGATAAGGTGTCTGTTCTGAGTCTAAACCTCCACATGGAGAAAATCCAGTTCATTATAAAAAGCCTTTTGGGGGATGAGGGGGATGGGGGGATGGGTAAAGAAGCTCAAGTGTTTAGGATCTATAATGATCCCCTCATGCAAGTTTGGGTTTTCCATCCTGTGAGCAGGGATGAGAGAAGGAGGATACAGCTGCTGCAGGATTACAAATCCATATCAATCCACCCTTTATTCACCTGAGTGTCAGTGCATTCTGTACACTTGCGAGCATTCATAGAAAACCAACCATTTCAGGGCTTGTTTCCCAGGAACTTTCAGTAACAGCCTTCTCCTCTGAAGTTCTCTTTACTTTAAAAATGTAAAAATGTCCTAATGTCCTACATACTCCTAAAATGCCGAATGGCACTAACTGAACTTTCAAAGGCTGTAGAGTGAACAGGCAAAGTCAGCTGCAACACTACATTCAAACAGGACGACCATTGGATTTGTTATACATGTACTCCACATCTGGATGAAAACACTAAATCCAGCCTTGCCTGGTCTCAGCTGGTTTGGTTTGCTGGTTTTATAAGGATTTGGGTACTTATCAGCTAAGACACTGGATAAGTGACCAGCTAAACCTACTTTGTCATGTTGGGAGACCAGCTAGACCTGCAAGCCAAGTAGCTGTTTTCTTTTTCTTTTCTTTTTTTTTTGTTAGACTTCTTCCTTTTCTTCTCTGCTTCTCCATCTTGTCATGGCTCAGTGGCAATTCCCTGAACAATAAAGACAAACTGGCACAGCGGTTTACAGTGATGTGTATGAAAAATGTCAATGACACACATCATTCGTTTAGTTTGCCTCTTGCCAAGGGGTCCTGTGGCTTCAGCAGAAAGAGAGAGCTCATTTATATGCCATACACAGGGAGCAGGTGTTTCAGCTCATGGCTAGCTTAACATCAGTTAATGCTCCTCAAACCCCCTGCAGGCAAAATCATAAGGATGATCTGTAAAAGAAAAGACAAATATAACACACACACACACACACACACACACACACATACCATATATATATGTATAAATATATATATGGTATGGTATATTTGATTTGATTTTCTGGTCTAGCTGGTCTCTGAGCCTGATAAGTAGGTTTAGTTGATCAGTGTGTGTGTGTGTGTGTGTGTGTATATATTTTTTTATTTTTTATTTTTAAAGAATATCTCTTTGGATTTGAGACTTTAGTCTTTGCAACTTTACAGATCTTCTTTATGCACCAAGAGCTTGTAACACTTCAAAGAGAAAGGAAAAATTTAAATAGCATCATATGACCCATTTAACACTCCGAAATTACTTCCAAGAATCATACCACTGAAATTTGAACCTGATTAAAACGCTTTCAGCATAGCAACTTTGATACCAAACCTGCAATAGGTGAAGCCATATCACAGTGCACTGATTCCAACACTGTTTCCAACACTTTTTCAACCTGAACAAAGAAACAATATAGTCCTTATCTGTAGGCTTTTAATGTATTCTGAACCTGCTATCTTACTGTATCAGACACACATGGCATGAGTTTCAAGAGTTGTACAACATGCATTCTGAAACGACACACGTCAAAGTGAACACCATCCCTTAAAATCAACACACCACATCCTCTGTTTTCAATATGATATCTAAATAATGCAAGCAGTCTTTACTTTGAGGGTGGCTATGTGCAAAGTGACCCATGTGGGTGTGAATCCATTGGATGGACTCATATACAGTGGGCATAGAAGAAAAAAAAATCACACAATATCAGTAGTTTATCATTAAAAATTATGTTTCTTAGTCTTTTCTTATCAGCATTAGGTTTTGTTGTTGTTGTTTTACATTACATGTGTCACGGTCAAGGTGTGTGGAGGCAGGCAGGATGACGAGGACGACAAGGATTCAAATAAGGATGTTTAATGTAGAGACAACAAGGCAGATACGGGTAGATGAGACACACACTCAGGGTAACATTCACAATAACCGACAATACTAGAATACACGAGACAGGAACTTATAGGGCAGATAACGAGGGGCAGACAGGTGAGCACACTGAGGATAATTAACTAATGATTGAACGGGCTAAACCAACAAAAGGGGAAGAAACCACAACAAACAGTCCACAGGGGTGTTACAACATGACATTGTTAAATTAATGTTTATTGCATTATATTAGTGTCATGTGTTACCATGATGGTGTTCTGTATGTGTATGACACCATATATTAGTACTTACCTTATTATTTACCTGTGGAAAAGTTACTTGGTGAACTTTGATTCATCATTTGGCTTTTTCATTACCACCTGTGGTTTTCTGTCGGAATATTTTAAACGTTAAACAGAATTTAGTAATTTGGTATATTAACATTATTATTACTGAAAAAGCATTTTTTTTATACAGTAAACTTAATTTTAATTATTATTGTAAAAATGAATGGGTAAAATCAACCGTTATGTTAATAATGGGTCAGGTTAGTCCAAAATGTGGTCGGTCCAATATTCACCCAGCAGCTGGGCAAAAAACCAACCCAAATTTGGTTGTTTTTTATAGTGTAGATAGAAGCAGACGTGAAGGGGATGCTGCTACTGTAAGTGTCTTCAGTTTCACTCACTGATAGTTGGAACCATTTGCTATGCCTGTTGATCTATTTTAATGGCAGGCACTCCAGGCATTTTCAAGGTTCAGCTCCATCCTATCCCTCCTCACAGCACATAGAGGCCCACAACAAACCTTTTTCCCTTCTCAACGTGGCATCCGAGCCGTCGCATCCTGCTGTTTGATGTGAATGAAGCTGGTTGTGGAAATCATGCAATTCATACAATCTGTGCTCCTGTTCAACTATTCATCTTCCGTTTCAAAGACCTGCATGCTAGAGTTTAACTGCACATATCTTCTTCTCCATTTGTTCTCATTGACGGTTTAAAACTGTAAGTGAAATCCAGCAAATGTAATTATGTAAATCCGACAACCCCCATTGCAACCTAAACGCCGAATACAGCCGCATGCAAAAGTGTTTGATGGTGATTACTTAGCAACAGGGAGGTGATTTGCTTTAGCGCTGTGAGATTTTTCATTATACACAGCCATTTAGTAGCAATTACTTAATGTGCCAGTGGGGCATGCCCTCCAAATGGCTAATAACACTTTGTGTATGCAGGTCTAAATATTAAAATAAATCATGCAGTCTTGTCTTAATCCACCAGCAGATGGGCTGCTTTGTCTGCTCTTCACCGGACGCCTATTCCAAGAAGCTGGATCATCTATCTTGTCAGACTAGAGGTGGTACACCATTTGGGGTTCTCCATGGCTGGGTCTGGGTTGTTTATAATGGCACTGGGGCGAATGATGGATGTCTTCCACTCTTGAGGAAGTTTTTGGTATGTGCATCCCTTCTCAGGCAGAAAGGGGCACCCCATGTGAGGTTACCTGACCAGCATTCCCCCTCCTCAAAGCCTCGCTTTCTGAGGGCGGTTTTTTTGATGGGTCCTTTTCCCAATATCTCTGAAGCTCATTTCTCTACCCAGAGCATGAATTTTACTAGTCCTGGCCTTCTGAGATAGGGAGCATGAAATATGTGTGAAAAAAATGATATATAACTTCCTTTATTTTATGGTCTCATTCGACTCTTATTGTCAGGAACTGTGTCGGAGAGAACGAACGTGGAGACGTGGATCAAAGCAACAGTTTTTAATAAATCCAAACACACGGGATATTCACAACAAGGAATGGCTGGTGACACACGAACATGATGATTTAGACCCGACAAAGACAGAACGCACAGACTGGGACTTAAATACATGGGGTAAAGGACAATTAACACGACACACCTGAATCACATGAACACAATCAACGAGAGACAGAAACTGGGTCACTGAGAGCACATGGGGAGGAAAACATACACACAGACAGTCCAGGTGCGTGACAGTTCGCCTCCCTTTTTGAACAACAAAGGGAGGGATGGAGGGGAACTCAGGAGGAGGTTCGGGTGGTAGACGGACACCCGGGAGGAGGACGGCAAACAGAGTCCAGGGTGGAGACAACGGAGGGAGGAGCCAGGGAGGAGACAGTGGGTTGACGGGCCGAGGCGGAGACTGGGACTCAGAGGCTAGAGGAGGAGGCCAGGGATTCTCCAGCCACACTGACAATGGAGACTGGCAGACCCGCGGTGCTCGCACCGAACAGATGGTGGGCTGAGGGTGAGCAGAGTGGCTGCCAGACGACAGCGGGGGAGGAGGCACGAGCGGGAGGGGGAGGGGGCATTTCTGAGTCTCCGGGCTCTCAGGGCTGGTGTGCGCTGCCCACACACACCAAATCACGACTCCCAGCCCCGGGAGCGCGTCAGACAGGGGAATGAAAGGGCTGGCAGACAGTTCAGGGCAGATTGGTAAGTCCGAGGAAGGTGGGAGGAGAATGGGCATGTCCGCATATATATCTGCCTCCCAGTCTATTAGGTCCCCTTCAAAATCCAGCAGTCCCAGATCCCTTGTAAGCTCACCCTCAGCCATGGTGCAGTGGGCAGAGCTTCTCTCCGCGCTATCGCTGTCCATGGCCTTCTCCCTCGTGGTGAGCATTGTAGGTTGGTTGGGTCTTCTGTCAGGAACTGTGTCGGAGGGATGTAAAAAATTATTTTCCAAAGCTGTAAATAAAACAAAGGCTATTGAAGTAAGTTTTACAAGAAAATACTATTTCAGTCAGTCTACTTCAGTCTACAGTCTACTTTTTTTGTTGTTCTTCATACTATTAAAAGTCATCATATTGGGGTCCAGTATTATTTTACACCACACTGACTTGGTGTAAAATAATACTGGAACAGTTCTTCAAAATATCTAAGCAACAGTAGCGTGAGCAAATAACATTTCCATTTTTTTTTTGTGAACTATTCCTTAATGTATGAAAATGTTCCTAAGAAATTAACCATCATAATATTGACATAGAAGGAGCATAACCTTTTATCGTTCCTCAGGTTTAGTACCTCGGCTAGTTAGAATTCTCAACAGCATCAGAATTCATTATGTTTGGTCGCAGGTAAATCATTTCAATAGGACATGAATAATGTAGGACCTCTCTGAAGTCCCTGGCTTTGGAACAGAGGAGGAGATGGGGAATTGCAAGGGGTTAATGTAGGTCTGGCTTTTCCATCCTTAGGGTTACAGCTGAGGAAATCCACAGGGAGCCTGAGGCTCAGCGTCTTCCAATTTTCACTACATCACCAAGACAATAATAATTTGGGCCAGAAGCAGACACACAGGAAGGCCTCAATACCACAGCATGACTCACATGGATTGAGACTGAAGGGTGAGGTGAGTCAGGGGTGAGAGATGATGGGTGTATGAGCGGAAATTGTTTTCTCCATTTGGTTGATGCATTAATGAATGGTTGATTATTTATTTATTTGCTATAGTGTAATTCTCTGCCTGGATGTCTCCAAATGAAACCCCTCATCGAGTGTTATGATACTAAAATATATAGTGGGTATAGAATAGTATCACCCCCTTTAAAATAATCACATTTTGTTGCTTTGCAGCCTGAAATGAAGACGAACACAGTTTTTGTTTTATCCAGCTTGATTTACTCAGAGCAACTTATAACATCCAAGTTAAAGACATAAAACCAACATGGCAGAGAAAAAAAAAAGAAAAACAGAATCACTGAGTTGAAAAAAGGATCACCCCCTTGTGTCAGTATTTTGTTGAACCACCTTTTGCTTCAATTACATGCATCTCTACTAACTTTGCACATTAAACTTTGCAGTATTTGCCCATTCTTCTTTGCAGAACTGCGCAAGTTCAGTTAGATTTGATGGTGACCATTTTTGGACTGCAGTCTTCAAGTAATTCCACAGATTTTCAGTGGGGTTTAAGTCTGGGCTCTGACTAGGCCATGCAAGGACATTCACCTTTTTCTCCTTCAACCACTGTGTGCTCAGTTTTGCTGTGTGCTTTTTTTATTTTGCCCACAGGTCTTCAACCCTGCTCCTGGGGACCCACTGTCCTGCAAAGTTTATTTCCAACCTGCTTCAGCACACCTGGCCTGTGACTTTACACGTGATCCTGAAGACCATGATTATCTGGTTCAGGTGTGTTTGATTAGGGTTGGAGCTGAACTTTGCAGGACAGTGAGTTCCCAGGAGCAGGGTTGAAGACCTATGATTTTGCCCCATCCATTTTTCTTTCTATCCTAAAAGTGCTCCAGTCCCTGCTGCAGAGAAACCCCCATAACAGGATATTACCACCTCCATGCTTTACTGTAGGAATGCTGTTATTTGGATGGTGAGCTGTATTGGATTTCCGCCAGACATATTGTTTGGTGTTGAGGCCAATTAATTCGATTTTAGTCTCATCTGCCTCTGAATCTTCAAGGTGCTTTTGGCAAAGCTCAGTCGTGACTGCATGTGGCCTTTCTTAAGCAGTGGCTTTTTTTCTTGCAACCCTCCCATACAAGCCACATTTGTGGAGAATTTGTGATATTGTTGTACAGCTTTATCCCGGTGATCTTTTGACAGTGCCTCGCCACCCATAGTTGATTTTTTGCTTCAGTCGCACTACCCAGGAATGAACGAGTCCAGGAAAGCTCTTTTCATGCTGAGCCAATCAAAATGACCACAGCTGATCACAGTTGAAAGTCAAATGGCTTTGTGTGCCGTTGAGAAGGTGATTAGCTACACCTGATTGAGTTTACAAGTCATTTTTAGGAGGGGGGGTGATCCTTTTTCCAACTCAGTGATTCTGTTATTTTAAAGGGGGTGATTCTTTTCTATACCCACTGTATAAATACTGTATTTTCTGGAATATACAGTAAGTCACTGAATCTGTGCAGAATGAGCAAAGTAGTCATATTTTTGCTTTAAATAAATTTGTTTAGGCTTGGCGTTTATAACAAAGGTTGTTTATAATGAATGCCACTATAATTTATGTTTGTTTTATACTTACATTTTCATTCCTGTTATAAGTCGCACCTGGTCAAAACTGTAGAGTTGAGAGAGAAAGAAAACAATGAAAACAGAACATAATATCAGTACCATCACAGATGTGGTATTGCTTCTATACAACAGTCAGATAAAAAAGGTTAATACTATAATACTGTGTAACTTACATTTTAGACACAATATTGCCAGTTTGACTTTTTTTTTGTTCCCTCCACCAACAAAAATATTTCAAAATAAAGTATAAGCGGAATCAATTGTTGTCTGTCTCTGAGCAACACAGGGTTTCATTCTTGAACAACTTGGTTGAATAAATAATTCAATGGCTCAATCATAAAAGGCTACTGACATAATGATGTAAACTGCAGAAAAGTCCCTGAAAAATCTGCAGATTGACAGTATAAAAACGACATTAAAAGCATTGAAAGGATGCCAACTCCGGAAATGGTCCACTGTTTTTGCATTCCTCACTGTTCTCTTCCATAGTCTGGATTCAGAAGCCCTCGTGCAGGCAGAGTCCGTAGATCTTTAAAACAATTTATTTTTAGATATTTGTACATATGTTTACACATACATTTTTGTACATTTTGATCTACACTAATACGTTTAATATACACTGAACAAAATTATAAACGCAACACTTTTGTTTTTGCCCCCATTTTTCATGAGTGACAGCATCTAAAATATAAAATTTCTGCAAAAGTACATTTCTAAAATAAAAAAAAGAGATTTAGGTTATTTTAGTACAGCAAATCGCTTAATGAAAATAACAGGATATTATTTACAGTGCACATTGCTTACATTTTAGATGCTGTTTGTGCAAAAGGCGATAGAGGGCGTGTCAGAGCGCTGTCGCGCTAGCCAGAATGGGGACTTTTATTATGTAACGCGGATAGCCGGAAGAGACACTGTTCATTACTCGGAGATCGGCAGACTGCCTCCGCCGCTGCTAGTGATCAGGTTTTCTGCATAAACGAGTGCTGGAGACATGCATCATTGTTCATATCAGCCTCAGTTTGAATGTATCTTGTGTTGAGTGCGTCCTATACGAGTGAGTACGAATCCTCGTTAACTGATTGATGCTTGCTTTATCAATGATGACGCAGTTATTAGCTGTCCGATGTTGCATGGTAATGCTATTATCTACATGCTATTCTTGTAACATATCTGTTTATTCACAATGTTCGGAGTTATAATGTTTATAATGCTATAAGTTATGTGGTTATATGTTATACCAAGGGTTTATACATCATTATGTTACTGGAAGAGGGGAGCAGCCTATAGTTGTATATGAATAATAATACTTGTAATGGTGGTTTCATTATATTGCTTTTGTTTCTTTCAGAGAAACCACACCCTCCACCACAATCATACATTTCATGCTTCAACTGATAAGCACCCAGCCCTCTCAAGAAGACAAGATTCTTTAAAGACTGTGCTTAAGTTTCCCCTCTAACTGGCTCACGCCTCCCATCATTCTCAGCAACCCGTGTATGCTCATTTGCAGTGTTCCCAGAGTCCATCCTCGTCTCTATCACCTAAACCACTTTGTGTCCACTGCAGTCCTCAGCTTCTTGTTCCACATCTTGTTAGTAGACACAGACTGATGTGCATGTAAAGGCTGACTCCCCCTCTGAGTTGATCATATCGCATCTGTGAAAATAAACCTGTTCAAACTAATACTTCCCTCTGTGGTGTTCTGACCGACACACCTGGTTCACTGCGATTCAAGCTAGCCCTAACAGTATCAGGTAGCTCTTCGCTACATTTGTGGTCCTTCGAGCCGGATCGTAGTTGTGCTGGGAGTATGCAACAGAGTGATGAAGC